CAGTTCTGAATTCTGTGGCCGAGCGCCATAAACTGCCAAATAGACCAAGGTAAAGTTTTGTGAACTATCGGGCATTTCAATTATGTTACATATGACCACAATTAGATTATAAGCAGTCCCTGCTTTTCGGCCAATGGGAAAAAAAATTGATCATTTAGAGTGCCTCGCGGAACTCGGGGAGCAAGGCGCACGTACTTTTATACTCAATGAGTAAGGGAACATGGATGGTTTCAGAGGTTGACTTTGACAAGAATTGACATTCGGCCGCAGCAGTCTGGGACGAGAATGCTTCTGCAAGAATATTTTCCTTTGGGTTATTTTTTTTTGGCATTAAATAATCTCATCACCTTGAAATTTGTCTTTTGTCTATTATATTTTCGTGTGTGTTGAGTCACACTACGGGAGAGACGCGCGAAAAGCAGATAACATGCGGGGCAGAATCGCGTAAGGGAAGAAACGCGTGAGGCGAGAAACGTGGGAAAGTAGGACTGCGATAAAAAAATTATGGCGGTCTCTCTTTCTCCCCCCTCCCTCGCGTTTGTCTCGTCCTGAAGGCTCCTTTTACGCTTGTCACCTTATCATATGATGTAATTTAACCTGTGTCTAATCTCCTCTTCTGTTTCGCGTTTACAGAAAATGCCCTGAAACCAGGATCGATTTTGCCGATGTTGACAACTTTTATAATCTTCCGGAGACGGAAGTGTAAATTCTGGCTTAATCGAAATTTGATGTAATGTTACTCATTTGTAAATTGTTTGTCGCGCCCGTAAAAATAATCTTAATAATCTTTTTTTTTTTCTTGATGAGTCATTACTTCTTTTATTCAGCTTGAACGGATGAAACTGTTACACAAAATGAAAGAAATAAACCAAAAAAAAAAAGAACGAAAAAAGAAAAAAAAGAGACATTGTGAAGTGCTTAAAAAATACTACTGTCTTTGTTTGCAAAACTGGGAGGAACAGATAAAAAAAAAAAACATTTATGAAAATCATAAAAAAAGTAAGCACGAGCTGTTGTGGAAAGCTTTAAAACAGAAAAAGGCGATAAAGAAAAAAAAATGATAAAATGAAAAATAAGCAACAATAATTAAGAGAGAAATGTTCTTTGCAATAAGATATTTTTTTAACACAAAATAGGACACAGTATAGAAACTAGCACAATACGTTGTATTTTTTTAATCAAAGCGTCCTCTTGTTCATTTTCGATTCCTCCTGTTTTACTGTTCTTGTGGTTATTGTTCTCTTGAAGCTTCAAAATAAAGAATTTACAAAACACTGAAAAAACAGAAAACGTTTCATTTGTTTTGATTGCTACTAGCCATACAAATTTGTGTGAGCTTTTAGTCCGTGGTTGAAAACTGAAGGTGAAGTCAACAGAGAGATTACCAGCACTGAAGCTTACAGTAAGTACTGTGGGCGGTTTGCGGACCGGATTTTGACATGTGCGTCACGTGATCACATGTAAGGACAGTCAATCAAGCCCACACTTCGCGATCCATCAGAAGGTCATTTCGGGTCGATTACGAGCTTGCCCGTAGACGTCTTCGTGATTGGGGCTCAAATTAACATCTTAGACTTGCAAAGTATAATAGAAAGGGACACACTTCATTTCCGCTCATGAATTTGAAGGAGTGTCAGGGTATTTTCTCTTCGTTCGGTTCGTTAATGGGAAATTGAGGCAGAAGCTTTCCAAATTTCAAGGTTCGTTTATTTATGTTTACACACGAACCAGTGTGAACTCAGGGGAAACACCTGTCAACTGCGCAAGTGCGGGAAAAAAAGGAAGAAAAGTTGTGATAAGTTTTAATCTTGCTCCTGAATTGGTTGAAATGATGGCACGAGGTTCTTATACCAATCACACTTAGCAGTTACCTTTTCTTAAAAAAAAAACAACAACAACAAATTTTGAAGATTTTCGATTGACGCTGATTTAACTTCAAGCTATGATTGGCTGCTTGTCATATTTCATTTCCTAACGTTGACGTTTCGAGCGTTAGCCCTTCGTTAGAACGAAGGGCTAACGCTCGAATTGTCAGCTTTGAAACAGTCTATGGTGGCAAATTTACATTATCAACCCAGTTGATAAAACCAATACCCCAATTTATTTTCTCTAAAAACACCCCCTTTAAATACATCTTTTAGTTTGGTCATCGACCGTCTAAAGACTCTAAATCGAAAAGCGCTCCGGCTGTAAATTCAACAATGTTCGTTACTAAAATTCGCCTCAAACATAGATTTGTTTGACGCCCGTTGGGTTTAAAAGCGTGACGACTTTGTAAAGGTGTAATATAAATATAAATTTACAGATATATATATTATTTATGTGTTTCTACGTTCTAAACCTTTGTATCTTCTTATATTTTCCCTCCTCAAGAAGGTTTAAAGATTATTAACAATTATCCCATGGTGAGCTTGATAACGTATAAATTAAAGTTACATTGATGGCTCTTCATCAGAAATGGTAAATTCCACAGAATTGCTCTCTGTATTCAAATTGTGTGATGCATTTAACAGCTTCTGTTTTGCTTTCTTCGCATGCGTCTCTTACCTTCTTCAAATGCTTTCTTGTCAGGGTTGAAACGAGGTCAAGAGATTTAAAAACCTCATTTCACATTTGAAAGACTTCGTAAAAGTTTTTCTTGAAGAACACTATTTAGTTATCACGTTTTTTCTACAGAAGATGAAGTCGTAATAGAGCTGTTAAACTCCTAAATAATTATTTCTGTTGTGATAAGTAAGGAGATTTCACCAAACGATCTCTTCGAAAGCTGCAAGAAATGACCTCCTCAGCGCTGATTCCCTCCAATTTCTCATCAGATACGAAAGACGTATGAATGCAAAAGAACTGCCAGCAGTATCTTTACCTCATTTCCACAACAGAAACGATAACCTTGCCCATCGTATACAAACCCAAGCGTTGAGTCGGTGCCTTGAAGAACTTATACAAGATGATAACTTTTATGATTGTTCGTGACATTATTCGAATGTGAGGCGTGTTTCTTGTGTGTCGGTAGTTCGTGTTTTCTGCGGTTGGCGTCGTATTTTGCCTGCAAGTAAAAATTATGATTGATATTTGCAACAGATGACTTATACAGCTGTGCGTGAGGTTTAAGTTTTTCAAAAACCATTAAAAAAATACAGAATTTCCAAGATCCGCTCTCTACTCCAATCTGTCGAAACAAATCTCGAGTGCGCGTTTTAATGGCTTCGTACGAGCCAGGATGTTTCACTTTTATGTATGTTCCTCATACTGTTCTTTATAAATTTCCTAAGGAGCTTACCAGAAGAATTTGTTTAATAATCAAGAGCTGTTTAGAACGTGATCATTTCCTTCATTCTCGTGACCTTAAAGTGTGATTCAAGGCTGATATTGTAAGGAGAAATTAAACGCTAGTCGCTCTCTGTGTCTGACTCACCAAACAGTAATCGTTGATAATAAAACTCACCTTGTTGTATAGAAATACTCCAAAAATGGCAGCTAACATCCCCACTCCGTTATACAAACTGACGGGATTTCGCAGGAACATTATAGACACTGTAATTACTAAAATCCTTTTAGTGGCGGAAGCCACTGCATAACTTAGTGGAGTCACTAAAGATAACACTGTAAAAGCCACCATATTCTGGGCAAAATTTAAAAATCCATTTATCGTTAAGATTACCAACAGCCAT